GTATTCTATACAGCATATTCTCTATGTTAGTAATACTAATTTGGTCTCATTTGTGGCCATTCTTATGCTCTATGTGTGCTCTATTGTTAGAAAGCTATCGAATGAAGGGTTAGCAAAGGAAAGAAAGAAGCCTTCCTTTAACAACAGAGGGAGGAGGGCAGGGGTTAAAGGATCAAGATCCTCTTAGTACTTACACAAACACACATACCCTTTCACGGATTCAGCTGCTAATCTTAAAACTACTTAACCCTTTGCAAGAGGTGACGTTCTCTAAGCAGTTTTCCAGGAACTAGCAATGGCGCCAGTAACAGCTGAACGTGACAGTTTCTGACCTTCAGACCAACTTATCCAGCTTTAACTTTGTGTGTGAATGGAAAAAAATCAATTTGCTTCTGCATGCATGAGCAAAAGCCTCTATTTCTCATGTCCAAGGGTCATGTAATGGTAGATGGAGTATGAGACTCAGTGGATTTGACAGCTTAACTCAGTGGTCACAACATGTGGTGAAGTACTTGTTTGGTTGTAGTATGGCCACATCCTTGGTGAAACAAATTCAGAAGACTTTTTTTGATCGTTCGTGGCACAAAACCTCAAACCTGGCTATTTTTTTTAGCTTTTTCTTGCCTGCAGACTCGGTCTTGTGTCCCGTTCTCACTTTATCAGTCATCTGCATTCATGCAGATCATACATTCAGATGGGTAGTTAAATAATGCCCTCTGGGAGGGAGCGCCAAGATAACAACGTGCTCCAAAATGCCTTATGTGTGGGATAATTGTAGCTAAACTATGAAGCAGTCTGGGTTCAGTTCCAAGCTCCTACAATTTGCATGTCCTAGGGCAAAGGCGCTTTCCCAACTTCTCTTTGTGGTTAGCCACTGCCTTGTATGACTTTCTATGACTTGCTGCCATTGCTGTTTGTGTGTTTGGGTACGTGACTGACAGGCAAATTGTAAAGCACGTTGGGTAGAAGTGTTGTATAAATGCTTTCTGCTTCAAAGCAACATGTCTGGTCTCGGGTCGAGTTTGCGTCTCAGGTTTTGAGATGGGTTGGGTTTTACAGAGTTGAGGTCTGATTTCTGTGTCTACCTTGGTTCCTAGTGATTCAAATCTTGGGATCATTCTCTCCGACACATTTTTATAGAGCATTGTAGTGGAAAAAAGTAACCTTGACTCTGTGACTGCAGCTTCTCTGATATGAATACTTCCAGATTTCTCCAGCCTGCTGTCACAGGAAACTCACTGTCAGTTTGGACTCTTAGGACTAAAATGAGTGTTGTGTGGAATGTCTTGTTGTCTTTGAAAAGGTTGTTTCGAGAACAACCAGGTCTTCAGTGGCTGTCTTTGTAGCAACTTTAGCATCCTAATTCTGTTGCTGTCCACAGAAACTACTTTAACTACCTTCATTCAGAGTTAAGCCATAATTCCTCCATAATTAGTGACGTGGTTGCTGCGTTCTCTAAGTGCGTTCTATCTAACGTTCACACACATTCATCAGAGAGCAACTTGGGGTTATTATCTTGCCCAAGGACATTTGGTATGCAGACCATAGCAGCCAGGGATGGAACCACCAACCTTCCAAGTAGTAGATGACCTGTTCTGCAAGTCTAAACTTTAATCTATGCCTGATATTTCAATGTGGTTTCTATTTTTCCAGTGTATTAATCATGATCATTATTGTCCTGATAGATGGGAGCTTTAGTCGTGCACATATTCCCATTGTTTCACATCTGGAGACTTTTTAATCTGAGTGTGACCTTTGTTCTCTTCCAGCCTGGATCCCAGTCCTCCCACTGCGTTCCTGAGACTGTCATCCACCTCCAGCCCTGGCCTCAAGGCCAGCTGATATACCCGCGGAACCTGCATCATCATTCATATTTTCCAGCGTCACCCTGAGCAACAACACACCGGGTGCACTCCTTTTGGAGAAACGCCCAAAACCCACCTTCCGAGGACACCAGGGACCGGCCCCTAGGGACTGGCCCCTGTTATGTTTTGTTGACCGACTCGTCCCAACCGGCGAATGACAAGTGTGCATCCGAGGGTGGGGCTTGCCTCAGTCTCTCATGATTGGCTGCTGGATGGAATTAAGGTGAATGGAACACATGCCCAAGGAGCAGGACTCTAACCCATCAGAGGGAGAAGAGAAACAGTGAGTTTGAATTATGTATTTATTGTTTGAAATTGCATCATTGTTTCATAATGGCTGTTAAAAGTAAGCAGTAGTCGTTCCAGTTCCTTTATAGCCATCCCATCTCCTTCTCTACCTTTAGCTTTCCTACTGTAGGTCGTATCTTTACTGAAGCAGCCATGATTTTTTTCTCAGTGCTGTAGAAAAGAGGTTTTCTGATAAGGCAGTATTCATTTTTCAAGATAAGCTAAGCATCGTCGTGTTCTCTTTTTTCCTCCGTACCACTCGCCCCTCTCTCCCTCTCGCCCTTTTCCTCTTGTCTGAATTGTTTCTGAGAAACTAGACCTTCAGCTGCTCCTGACCCTGACGTTCCCGCCGTCGCTCAGCTTCTTCAGACTGAGTCAGTCTAGCCTAAATGCAAACAAACATGGCGCTTTTTAAGCCCCTTCTCATTAATGAAAACATAATATTAGTGGAATGGACTGTTTTCTCATACTGCTAGAGGAAGGGGCCCCTCTGTATGGAAGAGGCCTCTGGGTAAAGGAAATAGTTATCGCTGTATATCAGGCTGCTTTGGGTTTGAAACAAGTCTTTAATTTAGAAAGCGCCACGATTTCCTTTCATTTGAACTGTGAAATATCGAAGGTAAAGACGCGTCGCCTTCACAGTTATTTGAAGGTGTAATGACAGGTTGGTTTTGTGGTTTCACAAAATAAGTGTTGAAAGCTTCACGAAAGCTTCTGTTTAATCACATCAGGTCTTTATTTTATATTCTTTTTTGTTGCCAATAAGATAACAACACAGCAGAACTCTGCGAGTTTACTTAAACAGACGTTTCACCCTTAAATCAAGTATACGTGTTTCTCCTCTGGCATGTAGCGGGAGATATCGGCTTCAGCTTGTCTTGAATCTAATGGAAACTAGCTGGTGGTCAGAATCTTAAGAAGTGCACTTGAAAAAAATCTATAGCAACACCTCTTTCCGCAAATCATGACCTAGATATGTGTGTGCAGTTTCATGTCGGAACTGTCTGTCTACATCCGCCAATTAAAGCGTGCAGCCAGCTAATTACAGCTCAGCTGAGTGGGTTCCCATTAGTGTTTACATCCTGCCACGCGGTCACGAGCATGAGGTCACGGGTAGCTCGTTTTGCACAGCGATACAGTTGATGGGGGTAGTTCGGTAGAAAGGAAGTAGGTCCTACATAAACCTGTTTTTGAACTGATAGATAAATAGCACTTTCAGCTTTTGGTTGCTCCCTTTAGGGCTCACCACAGTAGATCATCTACCTTCAACAAGTATCTTCTGTCACACCACTTCTCTGCATGTCCTACATTTGATTTTCAGGGTGAACTCTAACTTTGTCGTCTTGTTGTCTTAAATGACTAGGGATGGGTACCGGTATCCGGTGCCATAGTAACCAGACCGAAAAGCAGCGCACATTTCGGTGCTTTATTTTCCTGAGCTGTGATACACTTTTTTCTTCCTTACATTTGTATTGGCGGTTGGCAAACAACTGAAAGGTGCATTACCGCCACCAACTGGTATGGAATGATACACTTTAGATTCTAGCCAATCATTTTA